CTCAAACCAGGACATTCTTAATTTCTTTACTAATTAATCCCTCCATATTACAGTCAGGTTGTCTCACTATGAAATATCCTGGCTATTTTAGTAACATTTAATGAAAACAGAGTATGAAGTGGTCTAGCTGTAGGTGGATCAATACTGTAATGTCAATACAGAGTCATATCAGAACTCTTGGTTTCCTTAAACCTTTGTGATCAAAAGGTGTGTGCTAGCCAGCAACAAAGCCTCTCCGCGAGTCGCAAAGTACCCCCAGGCCTATGGACACTTCCTGACATGGCGCCATAGCCATATATAGCCCAGCATCAGTAGCAGACATCAGTCATTTCCTAGGGAGGGTTGTGGTGTAATGGTGTAACCATTAACTCCCATCACTCCACAGGTTGTTATCAGTAGCTTATACCACTGGTGATTGAACACAAGTGTTATAGTGAGTACCATTACTGAGCCTATTAAGGTAATAGGGAGTGTATTGATAATCGGAAGTAGGAAGTACATCCCTAGTTGAAAATCCAATGTAGGGTGACAGTATCACGATTTCCGCATATTCTAATGTTTAATATTAAACTGATGAATATTGTATGTTTTTTATTGACAGAACAATGTTTTCTCTCAATATTAAAGTATTTCAAAGCAATGCAGGCATTAATTCAGGTTTTTTTTTATCAATGAGCCACATGTATCCATTTTTCTGTACTTTAGGAAAACAGCTACCTATTTCACTACTGTGATTTTTTTCAAGAAAGATAACTCTTACCTGCAATTACTATGTGCACATGGTTTTATTATAAAATGTCTATTTTCAATCGTTTATAGATAATTTATTTGACATAATTTCAGCATTTATTAAATTGATATACATTAATGCAATACTAGTCTATGGCAGTATCATTTTTATTGACATTATTTTGTCTTTCATTTTTTTTCCAAATGTCACTCCTTTTTACATAAATTTCCATTTAAATTCCTTAAAATTATGACAACCTATATTTTTTTGGTGGCAGAAAATTTTCTTTATTTCAAAGCAATATAACTACAAAATTTGAAGAAATTCTACTGAGAAATGGTGACACAATCCTATTACCTTAATGATAAAAGAATCAAAAGAAATGAAAAAATATTTGCTGCTTCCATGCTTCAGATTTTCACCCTATTGATCTGCAAGGCTACAGTCAGGCAAGGTTATAGAACTATATTACAGCCAGGAGCAAGGTGAGCATGTACCTGGAAGCTTACTACACAGGTCGTGATGTACACTACACAGGTCGTAATATACACTACACAGGTCGTAATGTACACTACAAAGGTCTAATGTACACTACACATGTCGTGATATACACTACACAGGTCGTAATGTATACTACACAGGTCGTAATGTACACTACCCAGGTCTAATGTACACTACACAGGTCGTCATGTACACTACACAGGTATAATGTACACTACACAGGTTGTAATGTGCACTACACAGGTATAATGTACACTACACCGGTCGTAATGTACACTACACAGGTATAAGGTACACTACACAGGTCTAATGTACACTACCCAGGTCGTAATGTACACTACACAGGTATAAGGTACACTACACAGGTCTAATGTACACTACACAGGGCGTAATGTACACTACAAAGGTCGTAATGTATACTACACAGGTCGTAATATACACTACACAGGTCGTAATGTACACTTCACAGGTCGTAATGTACACTACAAAGGTCTAATGTACACTACCCAGGTTGAATGTACACTACACAGGTTGTAATGTATACTACACAGCTCGTAATGTACACTACACAGGTCGTAATGAACACTACACAGGTCGTAATGTACACTAAAAAGGTCTAATGTACACTACACAGGTTGAATGTACACTACACAGGTTGTAATGTGCACTACACAGGTATAATGTACACTACACAGGTTGTAATGTGCACTACACAGGTATAATGTACACTACACCGGTCGTAATGTACACTACACAGGTATAAGGTACACTACACAGGTCTAATGTACACTAGACAGGTCGTAATGTACACTACAAAGGTCGTAATGTATACTACACAGGTCGTCATGTACACTACACAGGTCGTAATGTACACTACAGAGGTCTAATGTACACTACACAGGTTGAATGTACACTACACAGGTTGTAATGTGCACTACACAGGTATAATGTACACTACACAGGTCTAACGTACACTACACAGGTCGTAATGTACACTTCACAGGTCGTAATGTACACTACAAAGGTCTAATGTACACTACACAGGTTGTAATGTACACTACACAGGTATAATGTACACTACACAGGTCGTAATGTACACTACACAGGTATAATGTACACTACACAGGTCTAATGTACACTACACAGGTCGTAATGTAAACTACACAGGTCGTAATGTATACTACACAGTTTGTAATGTACACTAGACAGGTCTAATGTACACTACACAGGTCTAATGGACACTACACAGGTCTAATGTACACTAGACAGGTCTAATGTACACTACACAGGTTGTAATGTACATTACACAGGTATAATGTACACTACACCGGTCGTAATGTACACTACACAGGTATAAGGTACACTACACAGGTCTAATGTACACAACACAGGTTGTAATGTACACTACACAGGTCTAATGTACACTACACAGGTTGTAATGTACACTACACAGGTAGTTCAGACCAGTCATGTATTCAATATATTGCTGACCAACCTTGAGCGATTATGTGTTACTTAAATTACACAAGTTCAAGAGATCATGGATATGTGTATTCTGGAAGCATTTGTCTATGCAATTTAATAAATATCTTGTTGATAGCAGCTGTTGAGAGGGTGACTGACACTGTTGTGAATTCTTGTAAATTACACCTTTATGTCATTTTGTTTTTTGTAACTTATTTAATGATTCAGCATATGAAATAAATAATGACAGAAAAGAAGTAGGATGAAGATAATGCTGATTCAGCAGACACTTGAGTTGTTTACAACCAACACTTTTAAAAGTTTTTTTACAACCCTAACCCTGCACCTGTTTCCTTTTACAAAGATGAAGCCATATATATAGCAGCTATGATAACTTCTCCTTAAATTCAGCATATTGCTTGGTTTAACTTTCATCTCAATGAATAAATGTAAATAAGCAGTTTGTGTGCATCAGTTGTTACATAAAATTCCTTGTTTGTGAAATATCTGAAAGCTCTTAAGTTTTCCAGGGAACCCTTTTTTTTAAAATAAAGACTTGTATTCTTGTGCATTTCCAAATTAACCACTGACTTGGAACCTCACTTTTGAAAAAAGCTTTGCATTATCACTATATATATATAAATGGGGTTTGCTGAAACCTGTTCAATAAAAGGAATTACTGGGATAGGTACATATATTTGAATCCCTCAGACCTTACATAGGTTGCTAACTTGCACACAATAATCTACCTGTCTCAAAGACTAGTTATTGTTGAATATATACAGTAAGTATGAGAACACAATTTACAGTAAACAATAGGAAGAAGACAAAATACACTGCACTGAGGCATAACAATACTGTGTAGCTATGAGCTCATACTTAGTGACCAGCAGGCCCAGAGCAGCCAGGCTGAACCAAGCCACCTTATTGATTATTGTAGTCAGCAATGACGTTTACTCTGTAATGATCAACAGGAATTTTCATAATATTTGTCCTTTACCAACTGAAGCATTTTCAATTGATGTATTTCTGTATTAATTACAATAATTGATTAACGGTGTCAGACATCACATACAGCTTGTGTTGACAGAGCTAATAGTGTTACACCTGGTATTAAACCACCTGAATGTGCTCATCAACTCCTTTGGGACCTGTCAAACCTACAAACAGAAACCTGAGCGGGGTTTTAACTGAAGTGTTGGAAGTCATAAATAAACCATTTCTGAAGGTTAATTATCTCGAGTGCTAACACAGGCTGCTGTAGAAACCGATAAATATGTACACATCACACCTTGAGCAATCAGGTGTTAATGACCAGTGAAAAGATTCTTACATCATCAGACCTAATGTCAGTGTATAGTTATAATTACATTTTGCACATCATTAGCAGACACTACTGAGGAAAATCTGTTAGTGGATTATAATTATAAATACATCTTATATAAATTAAAGTAATATTGAGTTAAATAATGTATCACTAAACATGAGAACAGTCCATTGCACCTTTTTCGTTTTTTGATATTTTCTGTTCAAAAATTGCTAACTCTGTTCTTTACAAACCTATCTATTAAAATCCTTCTGTGATTTGTGTGGAAAATGATATCTAGCTGAGGCAGTGTTAGTTACCTGCTGGATATGGTTGATAACCGGCACTCACAACTATAGCATTCAACAATTCTAGCTCTGCCCAACCACGTACTCATTTACAGCTGAGTAGACTGGAACACGCGGAGTAAAGTATCTTGCTCAAAGATACAACACAGTGCTGTGACATGACTCGAACCCGCAACCTTTCAGTCACGAGCCCGGCGTCCTACCACTAGACTACCGTTGTATAATTGTATTGTATAACATTAGATACAAAACAATTGAGACATGCACCCGTAAACATAAAGGCCATCATGTAATACATTTTACAATTAGATATATTCCCCTGTGCACAGGAAGGCTCATAGTCAGATATGTTTTCCACTAAGACATTCCCATACAGACAGGAATTGGGCATCACATGAAAAGTCCTAGTATATACATGTATGTAGTACCTGCATCCAATTAGTTCAAAGTTCAAAGACAATTAAATGATCATTTTGATTTTTCTATCATTATAATATATAGCCTTATTGAAGCAAAAGAACCTATAGCAATAGAATTACTTATATATCCCAAATACACTAATGTACTGCAGGTATAGCACATTAGTATTTTTCACTTGTGATAGATACCACCAGAGTAACAGACTACTTTTCACAGCCTCTCCTTCACACATTGTTGACAAACTATCTTGAACAAAAAACATGATATTTACCTCCAAGATATAATTCCATCCTTCCTCATTGAAGTATTCATGACCAAAATGAGCGTTGTACAGATCACGGGCCTCCTCTATCTTCTCTTTTGTGACCACTGGACCTTCTAGGAAGCGCTTTATGATGTACTGCAGACCGAAGAAAACTGTGCTTGGAAATTTACCCCCACGACTCTCGAAGTAGGAGCAGACGACTGTTGTGTTGGGAGGGTACTGGTAATGATGTGTCACCTGTGGTAGTAGGAGCAAAGTATTATGAAGTAGATCTGTGAGGTTTACTGGGTACACTCCATCAACCTACAGTAGATCTGTGAGGTTTACTGGGTACAATACATCAACCTACAGTAGATCTGTGAGGTTTACTGGGTACACTCCATCAACCTAAAGTAGATCTGTGAGGTTTACTGGGTACAATACATCAACCTACAGTAGATCTGTGAGGTTTACTGGGTACACTCCATCAACCTCCAGTACTAGATCTGTGAGGTTTACTGGGTACAATCCATCAACCTACAGTAGATCTGTGAGGTTTACTGGGTACACTCCATCAAACTCCAGTACTAGATCTGTGAGGTTTACTAGGTACAATCCATCAACCTACAGTAGATCTGTGGGGTTTACTGGGTACACTCCATCAACCTACAATAGATCTGTGAGGTTTACTGGGTACAATGCATCAATTGCAACCTACAGTAGATCTGTGAGGTTTACTGGGTACACTCCATCTAATGTATCATTTCAAGATTGGGGTCCTAATTAAGTGGTTACATTACATTGGTTGTACTTACGATTCTAGAATTCATAGAATTTATATTCCCAACTTTCATGACAATGTTGTAGCTGGTGGAAACTGAAGCATTTTACGTCATTTACTGAATGGAAACCAATCATCAATATCTTTTTCATCCAGAATTAACTAGCTTCATTAATTATGCACAAATTTATACATTTATATTTGTGATTTTGCACTTGGCCTCAGACTTGACATTATGTCATCTTCGCTAGCCAAGTGTTCGCTTCGTATACAATCCAGAGTGTATACGAATCGAGCACTTGGCTAGCGAAGATGACATTATGTATGTGCATACATTTTATTTTTTTTGAAATTGAACTGTTTTATGGGCAGCTTCTGAATGGAAAGTACGAAACCAACAAATCAGAATCAAATAAGATGCATGGATCATATTGGCAACACAACTTAGCCCGAGTCTTGCCATTGTGTGTGCATACCTAATTTGGTCGAGGCTTGACCAAATAAGGCAGTTATTAAACAGAAAATAAAGCATTACAAATGTACAGTTTACATGTAGTTTTCCTCCCAAATGCAGCATCAACAGGAGACACAGAATGGGGTCCTTGCACTCTTTTTTCTTGCTACAAAAACAGGGTTCATTTGTGTAATGATGCCTGTGTTTTTGATGTTGATCTCTCTGACTGTGACTTCCTACACACTTTTGTATCTAAAAGAAGACCTTAGAGTAACTGATACCAGGATTGTCTGTGTTTGAAGTTTTGATATATTATAATGGGCAGATATATACCAGTACATGTTTGCGGCCATTTATTTTGTCAAAAATGTTCATTTTCATGTAATCTGTTCTTTAATTATAATTATCGATCCTGTAAGAAACAAGAGGCCCATGGGCCTAAACGGTCACCTGAGTCCTACAGTATTTATTTTTGTTTTTGAAATATGTACCAATTTGAGTACAAAATAGTACGTTAACTTAAGCTTGTCAGGACCATGAGCTGATCATTCCTAGACCGAGTTTCAGTTAAATCGGCATATTAGAACTTGTTTTTAAGTTTGAAATAGTTTTTTCAAAATGGCGGCCTTGGCGGCCATATTGAATTACGGATCGACCCGAAAAATAACAACACTTTGTCAGGATCATGAGTCGAACATTCCTACAAAGTTTCAGTTCAATCGGCCCAGCAAAACTTGACTTAAAGTTTGAAATAGTTTTTCAAAATGGCGGCCGTATTGGCTATATATATTTGATTTCTGATCGACCCGAAAAAATAACAACACTTTGTCAGGACCATGAGTTTATCATTCCAACAAAGTTTCAGTTTAATTTGCCCAGTAGAACTTAACTTTAAGTTTAAAATAGTTTTTCAAAATGACGGCCATGGCGGCCATATTGGATTTCTGATCGACCCGAAAAAATAACAACACTTGGTCAGGTAGATGTCAGTAACCTTCCCATGAAATATTAATGAAATCCCTTTGCCAGTATTTCAGTTTAAGTCGACGGATGACGGACGAAGACGGATAGCAATAGATCACTGTCAAACAATCACATGAAATTCAATTTTTATTTTTCCAAATATTTTTACATTCCAGTACATCATCATCGTAAAAATAAAAGATAATAGTAACATTTAAAATACATACTTTTCATGATCTCAAAATCTTTCACATTGTTATATAGAAAAGAACTGTTTTGTCTTAGAACCCAAGGGTTCCACAGTCTTAAAGCACATACCAGTATCTTCATTGCACCCTTGGAATATGTCATGATAAAAATTGAAAGATCAGAGTAAGCTATACAATTGGTTTCAATTGCAAGTATAGAATCTGAACCATTGCCAGGGTGAAAGTATCATACATGTACTTTGAAGATTACATAGAAGCTAGACCCATCTTCAAAGGTAGTCAATTTAACCCTTATGCTGCTGCATGATTCATTTTATCTTCATCAAATGTATAATTGAGAGCAGAACCCTTTTGTTTCAAAGATGGGTTCTTTGAACCTTATCGTGTTCAAACTACTGGGTACATGGGCAATTCATTTTTGGTTTATATGGCAAAATAGCATCAGGACAAAAAATATATTTGTTTCAGGTAACATGTCTGAAAAAATAGAGTAATTATTAGTGATCATGAGTTAAGGCAAATAATTTTATTTCAATGTTAATTTTTTATTTTTGTGAATTAATATTATGCTTTATTTCAAATTTTACAATGCATTTCACAGATTACAATGGCTATTATTTTGTCAAGAACAAGGTCAGACTCTCGGAACATGAAGAAAGTACATTTTAATGAGTCAGGCTGTGAACTAATTTTGCCTGGCTAATAAATTAATCTTAGATACAAGTTGCTGATAAAATATCTAGGGTTGGCAGTAAAATCTAGGGCTGTGAACTTTGCCTGGCTAATAAGTTAATCTTAGATACGAGTTTCTGATAAAATATCTAGGGTCGGCAGTAAAATCTAGGGTAGGTCAGGACACCTGAAACACATATATTTTTTGTTTGACTCACATATTATTTTTTAACATCAATGACCTACTTATTGACAACTGAGACAAATTTTAATTGACAGCATACTTAGTTCTAATGGTCAACTGCAAGCCCTAGATCATTACAGACAACTAGTTCATCAGGCATACTGTACTACCTGTATGTGAATAAATAGGTGGGCAATTACAAGATAACAAAATGCAAATGCTTGGTATGAAAATTCAATGCATGGGTCAAAAGGACAGAATATTTTAGTTAGGCTTAGCTGACCGGATCATAATGATCATGTGAGGTCCTGTTATGTAGCATGAAGCAATTAAATCATCACGACAAGCATTAATTAATGTGTGAAATTAATAACTTAAATTTAAATTAAAAAAAAAAATCAGCAAGAAAACGTGAATATTTAGCATTACATTTCCATTTGCTCTGGTTGAACTACATGTTTATGGAATTAAATTGAAGCAGTGTCAATTGCTTATTAAATCAGGTATGTTTGTTTCATGATCAAAACAACATGTTTACAGTTTTTGTTTTGTTTTATAATATATAAGCATGTAGCACATTTGTACATTCACCATTAAAATATATGTAGGTTTAAAAAAATCTGTTGAAACAATTTTCTTAGAAATATGACATGTCTTTTTGGCCGAGATATTTTCTGAAAATTTATTTCAAAGGAAAACTAATTTGGATTTTTATTTCTACTTTCATTTTCCATTGAGAATAGATTCTAGGAGATTACCTTAATTTATTACGTTAAACATCATATATTTGATTAATTGTTTTAATTAATTGTGTAATTTAAGACCTCATAATGTACGTTTTAAAACGTACGTTGCCTGTCTAGACGACTGATTTCACAAAGGTATACCGACTGGTGGTGAAATAGTTGATTCGGCGATTTACTGAAAAAATAACTATCACTGCTGGTTTCGATATGTTTATGTTAGCCTGACACATCATTAGATACTCAGGTCACCCCCAAAAATACCGGACTGTGGCCTTATTATACTAAAGAGTATGTGAACCAAGCAACAGTATCGAACGCAATTACTTTACCTTGTATGAGTCGGTGATAAGCAGAATGTTGTCTGTTCCTCCGGCCGGGTACGCCATTTTGTACGCTTAATACTATGAAATACTGTGACGTCATAGCAACGATGCGAGTCGGTGCGCGAAGGGAGATCACCCTATTTTTTTCTAACATTTCTTTTCGAAAGTAAACTGACCGTAATTCCTGGTATCAGAAATGATATGAATCATTTCATAAATACTCAACTTTATTAATTCTTTTGAAAAAACATTACACACAGTGAGTTTCAATTAGCAAACGAAAAATACATCAATAATGTCATGTTTGAAATGAATTAGTTAACATAACATCATATAAATTATCCAAAACACTGGAGTCCTGTCACGGTGCTTGTATACAAACAGAAAGTGTCCTATTTGGTCCGGAAGGAAAATTGAGAAATTTACCTTCTACTTGTTTTAATATCAAATGCAATGGACATACCAAGTTGAGTCCAAAGTAAACTGTACATGTAAAATATTTGGGTTTAAATCTAGACCAGTTTCTTTCAGGACAACTTATTGTGAACAATTCTATATAGAAAATTAATCAGACTAGAATTTTCATACCGAAACAGAAAAAAACTATCTCTGTCATCAAGAAAAACACTCCTTGGCACTTATCCAGTGTCATTTTGACTATGCTGACTCATCTTGGTACGAGGGTATCTCCAAAAATTCTTAAACACAAACTTCAAGTTACACAAAACAAGTTTGTTCGTTTTATTTTGGATTTAGATTGGAGGAAAATAACAACTTTTGTAGAACTGGAAAAAATAAATATGTTGAATGTAAGTAATAGAGTGGCTCAACAGAGATTAAACCATGTGTTAAAAAAAATGAAAAATATCCAAGAGGTGTACAAGATCAAGCCAGTTTAAAACTTTTATATACACTAAAATAAATGGGGAAGAGTCAACATATCTTTCTCTTAGAATGCAATAAAATATTGGAATGCATTACCAAAAAATATTAAGGCTACCAACAACTTACACAGGTTCAAAATTCTGGTCAAACAACATTTAACATCAAAGTTTAGATCTGAACAAAAGTGTGATTTTGTGAAAGGGTAATGGTGAGACTTCAGTGACATACCCTATTACTTCTTAATTCAAATATGATCCTAAACACTGTTATTAAATGATACTATATTGTTACTTTATATGCAGTCTGAGAGTTTGGTCGGTAGGGATTGGCCCAACCACCAGCCCTCTAGCTTCTGCAAGAAGAAATTAATCTAAATATACTTTTTAAAATTTGTCAATTGAAATATTCAAAGGCATTACACTTCTGACTTGAATCCTATTTATATTCCATCTTTTTTATGTTGTGTACTTGTCATAATGACAATTACTATTACTTTATTCAATAAGAGAGTTTGTCCATAGGGACTGGCCTAACCACCAAAGGCCCTCTTCTGCAAGAAGCAAACAGATTTTAATAAATAACAAATTTGTTTAAATGTTCAAAACGGGATACACTTGTTATTGTCTTATTTATTTCAAATTATTTTATTAGTATAAGTTATCTACCGGTAAGCAGTATTGAGAGCTTGGTCGGTAGGGATTGGCCCAACCACAAGCCCTTTGGCAAGTAACATTTTAAGTTATATCATTCCATTACCAGCATTATTTTATTGATTATTTTATAAGTCTCCTAATATATCTGGTATATGCATGAAGGAGAGCTTATGAGGTAGGGGATGTACAGTTTAGTATTTTTCTTGTAACATTTTATATCTATTTTTATAAAATATTGTGTCTTAGAGTCTTATCAAATTATCAATATCTATAATACAATTATGTATATAAATATGTAACTATTTTGTGAATTAGATTTATTTATTTAGATCTAAATTAAGGGACCCCGTTGGAATTAAGCCACAATGTGGCTTTATGGGTAATCCCAGGTAAAGGTCTAAATTTAATCGTATCAAAACCAGTTTTTAACACTCTGACTGATTACTAGTTCTATGGCATAACTAACTTATAAATAAAATCTGTGATAATATATATATTTATGTCCAATCTGCAAAATGTGATATACATGTAATATCTGCCTTTTACGTAAATAAATACTATTATTATTGAGAGGCTGCTATACATAAACCACCTGTCCTGTATTCTGGTACATCACTATGTTGTATTACGTAGGATTTAATGGTTCCGTGTATATTTATCTTCCTAGAAATACGTGTTGCCATGTTTACGCCCGAGTGATGCAGGGCTGTATATTTGTGTTTACTTTCACAATTAGACCATACAGACCCATGTAGTTCTCGAAGTATAAGATGTGTTTCTATTGGATAATTAGGACTTCAGGTACATATTGTGCACCACACTGTACTCCGAGTTTACCTGGAGTCCTTCGTATATATGCAAATACGTATAATCGGAGACATATAACGCCAAAGTAGTATAAACGTGTCTGGTATAATTATTCATGGTACAGCTATATATTAATGATATGGTAAAGTAAAATAGACTGCATGATACCATGAATATTCAAAGGATTCAGAAAATATTTTTTATGAAAAGCTTATTTTCATGTCAAATATCTTCTTTAGAAGGATATATAAAGAAACCATACATAGATAATAGATTTATTCTGACAAAATTAGGATTTTACAATCCTTTGACAGTCAGCTCTGAAAAAAAACCCCAACATATTTCTATTTTTAATTAAAACTATATTTCTGCGCTTGGTTTTGCCATTGTTCATCTAATTTATATTTAAATTGTTTAACTGTGCTTTAATTCACAACATTTGACGGAAGATTGTTCCATAAATCAACAGTTCTCTGTGTAAACGAAATTTTTCGAATATTTGATCTTGAATTCGATTTGTAAATTTCTAAGTTGTCATTGAACTAAATACAATTATGGACTTTAGGTGAGGTCTATCCCTGATTTACGCTCCTCCAATCAGGGCTGTGCATTAGCACCAGTCGTATAATAATCCCTGATTTTAAATATGTCGGATACTTCATGGTCATATTTCCCAGACAATATTTTGTAAACCTCTATCATGTTGCCACGAGATCTTCTATGCTAGTGTTCGTATTTTTAGTTTTTCTAAACGCTCATTATAGGATAAGTATGTTAGGCCGGGTACCTGCTTCGTTGTTCGACGTCGAACATTTTTTTCAATGCGTTTTTCGAGATGAGGACACCAAACCTGATTCGCGTATTCAATGTGTGGTCTAACTAAAGATGTGTTAAGCAACCTAAAACTCTCCATGTTCATTGTTCTTCGTAGAACTCCCATAATGGAATTAGCTTTATTTACTTTTTCAGATATATGTTTATCAAATGATAATCTATTGTCTATGATGACACCGATATCTTTTCCGAGGTTCACACATTTCAAACCGCGCATCACGTTGCATTTGCCCAGATGAAAACGAAGATGCCAAGCCTCTGACCACTTTTGATGTGAAAATATATCCTGTTGTAAAATCTTACAATCTTGTTCATCATTGATTGCCCTAAAAGCTTTCGTATCATCGGCGAAAAGAAATGTATTCGTTGTTGGACTCGTAACATCAGGCATGTCGTTTATATAAAAAACAACATCTACCTTCAATGAAGTCATACTGTGCTTTGCTGAAAATTTAGTTTTTATGTATCATAATTTCTTCCCTAATTATTGATTATATTACCTTCCACACAACGCTAGTACATGTATACAATATATTCCCCGGTTCCTTATATTAATTAAATAATACTGTTGATATTGAAGTCCGCGTGTATACTAGATTTAAATGATCTGAGCGTAGTCAAGAAGTACGGTAGTTTGAGGAGAAAGGGACCTAGAGACCAACTGTTATACCGGAACAATTTCAAGTTCCTCATGCATAGGCGGTATTCACAACTGAGAAAGAACTACTTGACCAAATATAATCTAACTGATTCTTTCCTACATAAATATCCCTACTAAACATTCTGACTCTGATAATATACAGCCTGTACATGATTCCTGCTTAGTCACTATCAAACTGAGAAGAGTTGGCCTTGTTTCTTTGTGTGCTTGTGTATTGTTCATAATCGTTTTGTATTGCTTGATTTAATTGACTTAGTTTAAGCATATTTTATTGAAAATAACTACAAATGGATTAGGCACAAGTAATTACAACTTATTATAGTCCTTTCAAAAAGTAATTGCCGTCGAGTTATTATGTAACATCTGGTTAATTTGTGTCTACATTCAGAGATGTACAGTTGGCTATCCTCTGTCTACACCGGTATAAACATTTGTTAGACTTACTACACTGGTATAAACATTTGTTAGACTTACTACACTGGTATCAACATTTGTTAGATTTACTACACTGGTATCAACATTTGTTAGACTTACTACACTGGTATAAAAATTTAATAGACTTACTACACTGGTATAAACATTTGTTAGACTTACTACACTGGTACAAACATTTGTTAGACTTACTACACTGGTATCAACATGTGTTAGACTTACTACACTGATATAAACATTTGTTAGACTTACTACACTGGTATCAACATTTGGTAGACTTACTACACTGGTATAAACAATTGTTAGATTTACTACACTGGTATAAACATTTGTTAGACTTACTACACTGGTATCAACCTTTGGTAGACTTACTACACTGGTATCAACATTTGGTAGACTTACTATACTGGTATAAACATTTGTTAGACTTACTACACTGGTATAAACATTTGTTAGACTTACTACACTGGTATCAACATTTGTTAGATTTACTACACTGGTATCAACATTTGTTAGATTTACTACACTGATATAAACATTTGTTAGACTTACTACACTGGTATCAACATTTGTTAGATTTACTACACTGGTATCAACATTTGTTAGACTTACTACACTGGTATAAACATTTGTTAGACTTACTACAAATACATGTGTAATTTGATACATAAACTGAATGGACAGTGAAAAATACATACGTGCACTATGCACTTTAAATAAAGACTTAGTATATTTAAACTCTGTACATATATAGCCTTGTATAAATCAAAGACGTAAACAACTAATACGTGGTTCGGTGTATGTGCGTGTGAGGGGAGAC